ATCCTTTATAACCCTCCGTAACACCTTCATAACCCTCTATAATTCCTCCATATCGCTTTTATAACAACCCTCAATAACACATCCAAAACCCTCCATAACACCTCCATAACCCTTCATAACTCTCCATAATACACATGTAACCCTCCATAACATCTCTATAACATATACATAACCCTTCATAACACATCTACAACCCTTCCTAACACCTCCAAAGGCCATTTATAACCCTCCATAACACCTACAAAAGACCTCCAAAACCCTCCATAAGATCTATAACCCCTCCATAAGACCTCTATAAACCTTCATAAAACTCCATAACCCTTCAAAACCCTTTATAACCTTTTATATCGTCCTATAACATTCTTATAACCCTTCAGAACACCTCTGTAACTCTTTAAAACCCTGCATAATCCTTTATAACCCTCCGTAACACCTTCATAACCCTCTATAATACCTCCATATCGCTTTTATAACAACCCTCAATAACACATCCAAAACCCTCCATAACACCTCCATAACCCTTCATAACTCTCCATAATACACATGTAACCCTCCATAACATCTCTATAACATATACATAACCCTTCATAACACATCTATAACCCTTCCTAACACCTCCAAAGGCAATTTATAACCCTCCATAACACCTACAAAAGACCTCCAAAACCCTCCATAAGATCTATAACCCCTCCATAACATATAAACCTTCATAAAACTCCATAACCCTTCAAAACACCTCCAAAACCAAAAACAAAGATGAACAAGCCACAGCGGAATGAACCGCCAACTATTCCAGCATATGTTTTACACAGCGAATGTCCTTCCAGCTGGGATCTGGTCTGGGAAACACCTTTACACACTCATTCATACACACACACGCACACACACACACACACACACATACACACACACACACACACACACACACACACACACACACACACTCATACACTACGGCCAGTGTAGTTGATCAGTTCCCCTATAGCGCATGTGTTTGGACTGTGGGGAAAACTGGAGCACCCGGAGGAAACCCATGCCAACACAGGGAGAACATGCAAACACAGAAACCCCAACTCACCCAGCTGGGACTCAAACTGCAAACTTTCTTGCTGTGAGGCCACAGTGCTGATCACAGAGCCACCGTGTCACCCATATTTAGTAATATGAGGAATTAAAAAATACTAATGCATTTTAACATCTAAAAGTGTGCTTGTTAACATTATATAATGCACCATGAGTTAACAACAACTAACAACGAATAAAAAAAGTCATATATAATTAAAAATAAGATAATCACAGTGGCACAGTGGGCGGCACAATCACCTCACAGCAAGAAGGTCGCTGGTTCAAGCCCCAGCTAGGGCAACTAGAGTTTCTGTGTGAAGTTTGCATGTCCCGTTTTGGCGTTAGTTTCCTCCCCCACAGTCCAAACACATGGAAAGGCATCCGCTGTGTAAAACATATGTTGGATAAGTTGGCGGTTCATTCCGCTGTGGTGACCCCAGATTAATAAAGGGACTAAGCCGTAAAGAAAATGAATGAGTGAAATAAAAATAAAATACTGTAGTAAATGTAGGCTACTTTTGATAAATTTAATAACTAATGCACATTATTGTAAACTGACCAATAAAATAATACTGTTACTATTATTATTATACTGAATTTATTTGTATTTATTTAAGTGAGCAATTATTATTTATTGAGTTAATGATACATTACAAACATTGGGAATGAAAGATAATTTTATAATATTTAATAATCATAGTTCAATATTTACTAATGAATTATCAAAATCTAAAATTGTGCTTGTTAACATTAGTTAATGCACTGGAAGTTAATAAGAACAAAACTAAAAAAAAAAAGAAATTTAAAAAATGTAACTAAAATACTGTGGTAATTTACTTTTCGTAAATTCAATAACCAATAGGACCCTAGTGTAAACAATGTTATATTGTTATCTTCAACTGTTACTATTATTTTTTTATTCTGAATTTATTTGTTATTTATTTGTCTATTTTTTTTTAGTTAATGATACTTTATAAACATTAAGAATGAAAAATACTAGCATTTATTAATCATAGTTTAACATTTACAAATGCATTATTGAAGCCCAAATGTGTACTTGTTTACATTAGTTAATGCACTGGGAGTTAACATGAACTAGCAATGAACGAATTTAAAAAAATTATAACTAACACAATTTTTTGATTATTAAATTAAAAATAAATAAAATAAAAAATAATTTATTAATTTTCTTTTCGGTTTAGTCAATTTATTCATCAGGGGTTGCCACAGCAGAATAAAGCTTAAGAGATCTAATAATATTGACCTTAAAATGGTGTTTAAAAAAATTAAAACTGCTTTTATTCTAGCCAAAATGAAACAAATAAGACTTTCTCCAGAAGAACAAATACTTTCAGACATACTGTGAACAATTCCTTGCTCTGTTAAACATCATTTGGAAAATACTTAAAAAATAAAAAGTAAAAAAAAAAAAAAATTAATTCAAACTTAGTTTATATATTTATCTTCAACTGTTACTATTATTTTTAGTTGGAATTTATTTGTATTCAATAAGTGAGCATTTATTACCTATTGAGTTGATGACAGTTAATATATTTACTAACATGAAAAATAAAAATACTAGCATTTATTATTCATGGTTTTAATGCGTTATTAAAATCCAAAATTGTGCTTGTTAACATGAGTTAACATGACCTAAATTGAATGAATTAATAAAATAAGATATAAATAAAATAATTAACAAATAAATAAATAAAGAAAAATAAAATAAAATAATAATAATTAAATTAAAATACAATAAAACTAAACTAAAATACTGTAATAATGTACTTTTCATAAATTCAATAACCAACAGGACTTTATTGTATACACTGACCAATAGTTATATTCTTATCTTCAACTGTTACAAATATATATTTTTTTGAATTTATTTGTATTATTCATTTAAGTGAGCAATTATATTTACTAATATACTATTATATATATTTACTAACACGAAGAATGAAAATACTAGCATTTATTAATCATAGTTCAACATTTACTGATGCATTTTAACATCTAAAATTGTGTTTGTTAACATTAAATAATACTCCAAGAGTTAACAAGAACTAACAATGAATGAATGAATGAATGAATGAATGAATAGAATAAATGCAATAAAATAAATTAAATAGAATATATTAAAATAAA